ATTCCCCAGCCAGCCATGCTGGCTGGGGAATTCTGGGAGTTGAAATCCACTCATCTTAAAGCTGCTGAGGTTGCAAAATGCTGCTCTAAGAGTTTATGCTTTGTGTACATGAAGCATGTGGAAAGGATTAACAATCTGGAAAGGTTTAGTATGGTCTTAAATTGTAACCCAAAAACATTTCAAAGAAAAACATGTCTTTATTGGGGCATCATTCTTTCCCTGGCTGGAATACTGAACAACCTGGCTATCATAACACGCTTGAAGAAAGTTGTTTGTTTTTGCGAGGCGGAGGAAACCAAGATGAACTAAGATTAAATAGGCTGATTAAAGGAAAAGATTCCAAGAAGGTTTCACTCCTTAACATTAATTAAGAGGAGATGGCATTCCTGGCCAACTGCTGGTAAGGAATAGGTTTGGGGTTCATTTTTTCTTCAGTTAGGCGGAAAATCGTTTTCCCCAGTTATAATTTGCAGAAAGATACAGAGCCAAACTATACACAAGTGGATTTTTCTCCCCCTTTTTGATGTGCTTTTTTTTTTTTTTAACGAAAAGCAGCTGCTGGAAGCTGAAATGGGATACTGAAGGCTTTTCAGCTCATGGTGTGGGAAGCAGAGGATGTGACCAGCAACGGCCGTTAAAGGAATTCCGTAAAACGAATTGATTTCAAAGTTTCTTCTGTTACCGCGCTTCGGCTTGCGGAAGACGTTAAGAAAAGCAGTTTTTTGGCTCTCAGTCCATACCTTACGTGCTGATCAGCAAGAGATCCCATTAAACAGCTGTTTGGGGGTCGGGGAAGAACATTCAACCAACTTCTCTTCCCAACTATAGCAGAGCAATTTTTATTTTGGAGAACAGCTTGTCCTCTTATGCGACTTCTGCCACCCCCTTTCTGATTCCTCACCCATTTCTCTTATTTCTTCATAATTTTTCATACCTTTTTTCCAGAATACGGACACTGGTGGACCTGCTAATGCCTCTCTGTGCCACCTGACTTGATTTTATTATTATTTTTAGATGCTTTCCATTAAAAAATAAATAAAATAAGAAGAAGCTGGCATGGAGCAAAGTGCCAGGAAGACATCTCACTACTCAGAGGATTGGGGTAACAAAATACTTTTAGAGCAAGTCAAGCAGTAAGATATCTGCCGTAACTATAAATTGTTGATTTTATCGTTTTTTTTAAAGCTATAGGCCTACTTATTTATTAGGTTCCCGTTGAATGTGGCTGGAGGTACGGTTTATTTATTTTTTATTTTAATGTATTTCTATCCCACCACAATCAAGAAGACCTGTGGGATCTTACATAGGATATTTTAAAAAAAATAAATAAAACATCCAGGGTACAGATGTCACAATAGGAACAATACAAGCCACACACCCCATGTAAGAATGAAAACTGGCTGGGGAATTCTGGGAGTGGAAGTCCACCCATCTTCAAGCATGCTGGCTGGGG